AGTTGCTGGGTCAGGTTTGTACTCAAAAGCTTGGCATTACGTAGCAACGATTGTGCGACTTGATACAACACAGGTGTCATGGAAGAAAGGGGGAAAGGAAGGGAAGATAAATGCCTTATCAATGGACACGCACGATGTGACGTCCGGATGCTTCCTCCAGGGGCAACTCGCCCACATCTTCTTCGCGCAAAAAATACGCGCGCCTTCCACGTCGAAGCGCTGCCCTAGGCCCTACAGTGGAACTCCCAGGAAAGGAAAAAAAAAAAATAACAAAAATTATTCCGGCATCAAGAAGGGTTCCATTCGCAGATTCAAAAATTGAACCCTTGCACTGCGACGACTCTTTCAACGTTTCCCCTTTCATTTCCGCGCAGCGCCCAACCGTTTAACCTCAAGCGGTGGATATCCTCCTGCAGGGATACCCCTCTATGATATTTCTCATAGTCAAGCTCGCAAGGTCTGGCCTTTCTCGTGAAAGGTCCTCCGGGAAGATCTCGGCAGTGCCCACGAGGTGTGGTGATCTTTGGAGTTCTTTGTCTCCGAAACCCCTTTACACCTCGGGCCAGAAAAAAACACAGCTTAGGTTCGGACCGAAATATCTTAGATCACGCCGGTGATGTCTAGAGGCTTTAACTTGCCCGTCTGTACCATTGACTCTCCACTCCGTGAGCCCCATATGAGTGCTGTCTTTCCAAGTACTGTACCGGGACCGGTATACATAGCATATACATAGTGTACACATTACCTCAGACCCCGACGACCCATGGGTCCCGGCGGCTGTGGAGACAGATCTGAGAATGGGATCCAGGTAGATCTGTGGAAACCCAAAATCCAGTTCATTGTTGCACTTCCAGGACAGCAACTGAATGACGGCAGGACCCTCTCTCCTACAAAAATTCTTAAAGAGCTATGTGTTAACAGCCCGGCAGTGAGCAAAGTGGATGACAAAAGACGGCAGACGAGGCATCTCTTTTCAGGCCGGGGCAGTTTGCGTCCACTTGCGCCCCCCGCCCTCGGCCCCGCTCATCCTTCCCCTCGCTGACAGCTTGAGATTCTGCTGATGGGAAGATAATGATGGAGGTGTTCGTTCCTTCCCACCAACTGACGAGACTGAATTGAAAAGCCCGCAGCGCCACAGGGAAGTTTTTGCACCTTTCGTTACATCATGACAGAGGCAGAAAGTTGCTTGATTCGTCGCCCCTCCCGTTTGTTAGCCACAGTCAAGCCTCTGACGACTGTTCCGTCTACCTGCTTTACACGACACTGCGGCTCGCCTACCAGGTGTTCCTTCAGTTGCATCTGGAAAAGACCCTGCACGCTTGGCCTCCTTGGCCGTTGGAAGACCCGTAGGTAACGCCCAGCGTACCTTTCATTCCTCAAGCCTTCTTCCTAACTGCCTGGCCGTTGGGCTTGTTGAGCTTCGCGACATGAGTTGAGCGGCTGGTCTAGCCTGTCATGGTAAACAGCTCCGTTCTAGGTCTGTTCAAGTGAATACTACGGCACGGCATTGCGTGCTGGCACCATGTGAATGTGTGGGGGTCCCTTTCTTTTCTAAATTTTCCGTGAATTTGGTCAAATGGTGGGCCAGAGGGTCTTTCGAGAAAGCCAGAGGTCGTGTGTCTGAGAAGACAACGGTTGAAGCTCTCATGAGATGTGGATAAGCTGTCGGATCCCATAGCTGGCACAGGTACGCTGAATCATTATTTTGTAGCTCTCGAAAAGTGACTGAAAGAACTGTCAGCTTGATGCTTCTTACCTCTACATGGTAGTTCTTGCGACTGACACCGCCGCAGAGCTAGTAGGTATGGCATAGACACCTCATTGTAAGTAGGTAACATGTCGCGTGCTAAACAGCCCGCTAGCGGTATGTTTGTTATTCACTGTATCGGTGAATACCTACTAAAGCATTCGTGCCTTCCAACGGTCCACCTATGCGCAAAGCTCCCGAATCTTTGCCTTTCTTTTCCTTCACATGCCAAGGTTCCGTCATACACTTGAGCCCTGGTAGGTCGGCGACCAGTAGTTTGCGCCATCACGAATTTGCATAAAGTTATCTCAAAGAAGTAATCAAATCGCCAAGGTCTCTCTCTTCGTTCTCCATCAACAACGGCCGCCTCCACAGAAGTGGGAATGATGTTCGGTTCACTGCCCGAGCGTCCGAACGACTTCCTCTGCTGACTTCATTGGCTCCTTCACCACCCCATGTTCGTTCAGACCACCGAAAACACGCTACAGTAATGTGCCCTGTAAATGCAAGTGGGGCGTGCAGCCGATTTCCTTGCATTTATTGGGTCCTAGCATTTATTGGTATGGGAGCAGGAGGCTTATGACTGCTAGTAACCGCCCTGATAAGGGGTTCTAATAGTTGGTGACAGCCCCGATATGGGTAACAAGGGTACTACAACCCCTGTAAGCTACCCTCTTAGCTGCAAATTTATATGGCGGGCCGGCTGGTGGCTAGTACTTAGCAGCTAGCAGGCATACCATACTAAAATAATCCGTGCACAGAAATTCCTAGCAATTATTGGGTCTAGCATTTACAGGGCACATTACTGTATGTAGCAGCACTAACGAGAAGGCGTCAGAAGAAGGTCCACTGAAGTGTGTACATTGCCCTATTAGATGATTTGACGTCGAGATGAGGCACATGGGAGAATGCGACAAACTGAAGGCAAAATCAGCAAAAAGTCTTGAAGGTGAGCTGAAATGGATGACTACGTAGAGGATAGTCGAACACCCACTTCAACCTCAGCGTACCCGGTACCTGGCCGCTAGAACGTGAAAGGAAGCATCTCCCGTCAATTTTCAAATGCCGTCACGCTGTCCACAAGATGATAGTGTAAATACATGGCGCCCTCGCTGTCCGCTATCACCATTCATCACCACCTCACACTGGCCCTGCCGATCCTTGTCCACACCGAGTCTAGCCTGCTGAGACCAAAATCGCACCTAAAACTCGTGGGCGCCGGTGGACGACAATGATGCGGGGAAATTGTGCCCATCCTGTTTTTTCATCTTTTCTTTTTTTTTTCCCTCCGCGTGATTTCAACACCAGAACAGCCCTCCTCCGTTCGGCACCTACTACTGTGTAAAGACCGCGTGCAATTGACTTGAAATGACCGCGTGATCTCTTTTCCCACGAGTTCTTGCCAGTCATTCATCTTCAACACTCCTTTTCGCATGCCAGTCATACTCTTACATGACATGAGGGTAATGTTTATTTTTCTTTGCTAATCGTCTTCGAGGTTGGCAGGTCTGTATGGTTTCCCTTTGAAGTTTGGTGCTTCTGCTTTCTTCCATGTCAGCCGTTTGTTCATTTCTCTGTAGGTTGATCGAACCGTCTTTTCCGTCGATGGCCATGTTCTGGAAAAATGCGATGCTTATTCCTCCACGCGCATCATTGGGGTTTTTGACCTTTCTATACCAGTTGCCTCTGCGTGGGTGAAGCTCTTTCCAATGGCCAGAGACATCAACAAAAGGTCCAAATGGGGCAGGTCGCCAACCGCTAGCCTAATCTGGAGTCAGCTGAAGTCATTTAGCTGGTTTCTGATTGGTGGATGAGATAGAATTCGGTACTTGAATACATCTGACAAGTCTCGCAGGCCCGCGGCATTGTCTCGCTATAACTCCACCTCGCCCTCGTCGTCGGTACCCGCCCCAACCTCAATTTCACTCTCAGGCTTCTCCCCCACCTTCCGTTCCGAAGACTCCCGCACTCCGTCGTCCAGATAGGCCTGTGGCTTGGCTGTCGGCCATTTCTCGGAGCGTCCCTTTACTTGGATCACTGATGTGGCTGTGGCTCGGGATGCCCGTGGTCGTGAGTTCGCCCGATTTTTACCTGCTACCTAGTAGTGTAGTATGTAGTGGCCTAGTGGTTCACTTTCAGCTAGCGCTTGGATCCTTAAATTTCGACCAAAACCAAACACCATAGCTGGTAGAACTTAGTCGAGAAATACATCATCATCATCATCATCATCATCATCATCATCATAGCAGATGGAGAGATTATCTCCTACCAGGCGAGTCCTCCTCTGATACAGCATCCGAAACGACGCCTTAAGCATATTGGTCATGAAGTTGGCACTATCTCGCGGCACAAAACATGCCCTTGTCACTATAATATCACCGCACAACTGATGACAATCTTCTGTGAACCATGTTATCTTTTGAAGATTTCAGATATCGAATACAAAGCCAACCATTTTGGTTTCCGAAGGAGCCCCAATCCACACTAGACTAGTGTAGTGTAATATCATCAGCTGGACTTCGGAGCCCGCCGTATCCAAATTCAATAAGTCTCGGCCACCCATTGGCTTGTTCCCACTTCGATGGAACGTTGTAATCCTGGACAGCAGCACGCGAGCCTTGCTCGAGCCTTGCTGATTCGCCCAGCCAAGGGCCCCGTCGACGGGATTTCAGTTCTTCACACCTCAAATGCCTGGGCAACCAGATACTTCCTAGACCATGCGCTCCGCTCTCCTCATTGTAACCTAGTGTGTAGTCTCCCCGGAATCGCATCTTCTCACCTTGTCATCGAGGCTGTTCCCGCCTCGGCATTTGATTCTGCTCGGAGCGAGCAGCGACATCGGCCTGGGCAACCGGGATGTCATGATATTCTTTTGAAACTTTTTTTTTTTTTTCTCGTGCCGTACATAGCTGCTTTTCGACATCCGATTATTTCATCATTGCTGGCGAAGTGGACTCTCTGAAGACCTGGTGCTCTCCATAGATCATCTACAGTACAGTTGAGATCACGGGGGGGCTAAAACGGCACGGGCGGGTACTGATACCACCATCTTTTTTCCTCCCCAGCTGTGTCGTTAGCTTTGCAATGCTTGCAGAAAGGGCGCTTCCGGGTCATGATCGACAAAGACAACTACGCGAACGAGATACTATGGTGATATGGGTAAGTTTAACCCGTGGGCCAGGTCGTCGACCACACAGTGCTCACGAAGCGTTGGCTGTGGTGGTCCGTGCCAGGTACGTGACAAGGGGGTTTTACTTTGGCTCGCAACCGCAGTACACTCGTCCGAGTTGCTATCCTCACTTTCACTCGCGAACTTACGTTGTCAGCAACATCGCCTTGGTACCAACCACTGGAAATACATACACAGTACAAGCTGACGGGGTTGCGGGGACAACCTTCACTGAGGGGGAGGCACAGCTCTCTCCGCTCCCGAAGGATCGCCACTCTTCAACCTCGGAGTTGGCTTTCTGACTCTGTTCGAGGTTTGAGGCCATCTCTCTGGCCTCTCTCCTTGACCAGTAGTTCTGGAACTTCGAACAACTGCGGGCAACTGCCTTGTGTTTTTCCATTTTCAGAATCCACAGCTGATCGTCTCATCTCAGTGCTACGTACCCTGAATTAATACAAGCGCCCTGTGTCGTACATATAATAGTACGGGTGCGAGTTGTAGATGTGAGGAGTGCCTAGCGCCCAGCGGCAAGGTCGCGGCCTCAGACGAACCTGATACCTTGGGATCTGATTTGCTGCCTAGGCGATTCGTTGATTGTTGACCAAGGGCCCCTTTTCTTTGGACATCTTGAGTATCTATAATGTCAAGTGTTGAACCTCAAACTCTTGCGCTGAGCTCGGGCGAGAAGTACTCCATTTGTAACAAACCGTGTCATGATGGTCAAGCTCTTGAGTGAACATTTTCCACTGGTCTTATATCTCTATCCATTCGTACCACTGAGTATTATTTACTGGTCCTTGCTTTTAGGTCCTCTGAAGACTCAAACAAGTACAACACCCCGTCGTTTCGCGAGATACAGTTAAAAAGGGGTTATCCTAGCGTCTTCATTTGCCGATTACAGATCAAATCGAATAGTTAGCCGGACTACGCTCTGGCTTAAAACTAACCTCGAATTCCCAACCCGCGAGGCTGGAAACTCGCTCGCTGTAGCCCAGACTCTGCCCCATGGAAGTTTTCCAAATTTTCGCCAGAACAAAACCCACAAGCACGACTCTTTACGCGGCGACTAGTCGGAGTGGCCGTGGCATCGCTCTTTGTCTATGGTGGTCGACAAAGGGATTGCGCGGCGCTAGTAGATGATGAAGTTTTGTTCACGCGACATATCTGTGCTGTGAGTCAGTTTGCTGTCGTGTCGACTTTCTGTGTTCGTTGCCGGTCGTCATTGGGGTCTTTTATGTGTCATTTGTGACAGGCTTGCAAGGCTAGCCTCCTGGACACGCTGTCACGGCGTTTTCGAATACGGTCGCCGTGCGTAATAGGGGATGCCGACGACAACAACCGTTCAGTCATCCGATCGATGATCGCCGACCTAGGAACAAGTTGACTGACCTGGGAATGAAATAGGGGTATTGAAATCGAGAGTGTCGTGCCTTTTCGGCCCTCGAACATGGCCCTGATATACCCGTTTTGACGGGTATCAAATCACCTGTAGCGATGCCGACAGTACATGTGAGTAGCAGGTAGAGGTGAGTAGTGAGGTTCTCGGTAGCAGCAACTGTAATAAAGATGGGTACTTGCCATATACGTACCTATCGCTTGTTTTCAAATCGAAACCGTCATCTCATGAATTCTGACCAAGTTGTCATTACAACTTTTGACGGGTGTAAGTCGGTGAAGTACTGGTACTTACCACGCGCATACTACAGTACCCATTCACGGGAGCCACAAACTATGACAAGAAGTTGGACTGGAACAGAGCCGACTGCAGGACCTAGGCCGTCAGGTCGTACCTTCAGATTGGCGGTTGGAGGGTATGTAAGAAGGAGCTACAGAGAGCAGGTTGGAAAGAGCGAACAGTCGAAAGAGTTCTTCTTTCTATAAACGACACACTATTGTATGTATTGGAAGGAGCGAAATATTCGCGTGTTGCACATCTCCGTTCCAAACATTGAATCTCCTTTGCGAAGTTTCTCTTTCGTAGTTCTCTCCTCAGGTTTCCTAGGTACTTTCAAACATAAAGCCACCACCTCATTCCTTTCTCCGGGGCACCTATATGTACACATCTTACATGCCCCGGGGAGTTTAGTGCAAAATCGATGTTCGATATAGGAAACATGAGAGGTACGGTGAGCGGGTGACTGGGCAAGGGTTGGGTAGATACTTCCACATCAAGTTCATATGTGGTGGCAGTTTTCGGTGGGTAAGAGCGCAACTTCTATGCGTCCAGAATTTCAGAAATTGATGCATGACGACGGGACCAAGGTCCATAGGATCCAATAAGGCAGTCTGTCTGCTCGTGTGTCGTCAAAATGCTTTTCGGAATCCTGGCTGAGTCCTGAAGACAGTGGGTCTATATCAAGGGAGACCCAAGAAAGGAAAGTAGTGGATGGAACAAAAAGGAGGTTGATTGAATCGTCAACTGCACTTCCAGTTATACATGGCCATCAAGCTCCGTAGAGAACAGAACATTAACTCACTGGATCTTTTCCATCGAGAAGCCTGGAACTGACACCTCTTCTCTCTCTCTCTCTCTCTCTCTCTCTCTCCCCCCCCCCCCCCCCCCCCCCCCTTTCTTTTTTTATTTTCTCCTTTTCCTATTCTTTCCTTTCAATGTACATATATATATATACTTAGGCGTGGGGTGGCCCATGGTCTGGAAAGACCTACAAGTATCGAGCTTGAAAAGTGTAGCGTAGGGAGACCTTCAAAGAAGGTGGAAGGCAAACAGAAGCGACCGTTGACTGTCAAGCTAGATAGGCTGCGTTGTGAATAAATGACATTGTGCTGTCTCTCTAAACTTGATAATAGTTGTTTGTAAGTCAGCCGTTTTGTGTATTATTACTTGCGTGATTGTGCATACAGCAGTTGTCCCTCTTAACCCTTTCCGCCATTGACCACGACACGAATGCATCAGTTAGATCATTGAGACGTAAAAGCCCTGCTGCCTTTTACTTTCGTAGCCCTCCTCTTCCAGGGCCGCTCAGTGCCATCGCCTTCTCCTGTCTTCCATCTGCCCACCTCTCGGCTATAGAGAGTTCTCAATATCCATAACCTCCTTGATTCCCTCCTCAATGGTGGCCACCCGGGCTTTTTCCAGCCTCTTGAGCGGCCGCCTCGGGTACCCGCCATATCCAAAGTAGCTCTGAATAGCCTGCTTGGTGCCGGCAATGGCAGCCTTGGTCAAGTACCAGTCGCCCTTTGCAAGAGTCTTCTGAAGCGCAATCGCTTCATCAATCTTGCCCTCCACATACAAGTTCCACACCTTGACGCACACCTTGGGCATCACGTTGGCTCCTCCGGCAATGATACCGCTGCCGCCGCTGGCCAAGGTCTGGACAGTGAAGTCGCACATTCCACCGAATGCCATGTAGCCAGATCCCTCTGCCCAGGGAGTCTTGGCATCAGTTGCCTGTGCCACTCGTGTGAGCTTGCCGGTGTTTCCGCAGGTGAACTTGGTGCCCACAATGTTGGGATGCGCGGCGAGCTTGATCAGCAGGTCCGAATCCATGTCGATACCAGCAACAGCCCCGGGATAGTTATACAGAACGAGCGGCAGAGGGCTCTCGTCAGCCACGGCGATGAAGTAGTCGTGAATTGCTTGCTCGTCCATGAGGAAACGGAAGTATGAGGGAGGGAGGAGTAGCACGTAATCGCCGCCAGCTTCCTGGGCGATTCTGCACAACTCAATTGTTCCTCTAACACTGCCCTCCGTTGCGCCAACGATAATGGGTGTGTCCTTGAAACCAGCCTCGTCCAACGCTTCCCTGGTGGCACGGGTTACCGTTGCCTTTTCCTCTCGTGTACAGTGAATAGCCTCTCCATTGGAGCCCATGGTTACCAGACCAGCAAGTCCATCCTTGACCAAACGTGCAGCATGTTTCTTGATGGTAGGAATGTCGAGGTCTTCAGTCTCAGCATCGAAGAAGGTCATGGTCGGGGCGTAGATGCCGCATGGAAGAGGTCTTCTCGGGGCCTGCTGGCCGTTCGTGGCACCACTGGACACAGTCATGATGGATGTGTATATGGGCAAAATGATATGTGCTAACTCAAAGTGGTTGAAGCTTGAGGCTTTGGACAGGCGTGATGCACGGAAGTAGCGGCAGAGGAATCAGAAGAAAAAGGAGGCAATGGGCAGAAGGAGTAGGCGTAAGCAAGTGAGGGAACGCCGTTTACTTATCCGAGAAAGAAAGGTTCACGGTAACATACAGTCCAGCATTGCCCGACTCGGTACCCCAACTGTGGGGTGTCATGGCGTGTCGTGGAAGCAAAATGTTCAGAAACCAGGAGCAGTTCGCTCGGACATTGGTCCGAGGCGGCCAACCAAAGGCACCAGCCAACGCGGTTCCTGTTGGATGAAGACGAAAGTCGGTAAAAACAGAGGGCAAGGCAAATAGACAGCGGCTAAGTGATGAAGCGGACCATTAGATGGACCCGGATTTGGGGGGATGATGGAGGAGATGTTATGGAGGGGTTTACCCCAAGGACATTGACAGCCGGACGGGGGGACTGGGGATTATGGGGAACAAATCGCGCATTCACCTCATGTTTGTCCAAAACGCCGCCTTGACTTGGTTTAGTATGGCGGCGAGCGGGAAAAGGATGGGGTTAATGGGGAATGGCGGCGGCTTATCCGGCGGTGGTGGAAGTTGAGGATGCCGGGTCATTGGGCCTCGCCAAGAGATATATCCAGAAACTTTTGAAGTGATATTCTCGTAGACCGCTGAAGTCCAAAAACACTTGTTTTGAAATGTCTTTTGTAAGTTCAGGATACTGGGAGTGAAGGGCTTGGAGTGACCTCGTCAACTTGATACCCAGCGATATGGTCTGGAGATCTGCGGACATAAGTGCATAAAATGCCAACTTCGCATGCGATCTGTTGGTTAACGGCTTGCCACCAATACATGTGTTCGCTCCTGGTGGTCAATAAGATGTTTTGCACACCAAGATGTCTCCCGCTGCCTAGGGAGTTTGCTGAGCTGATGTCGTCTCGCCAAATACCGTGCCTTGCAGGTGAGATGGTGTGAGTGTGGCTGTTTGACTCTGGCATCATGGCTCTATCACGGGCTGAATGGTCACCACTGTCGTGCTTCTTGGTAACACATCTCTACCTACTTTGAAGTGTATCTAGACACTACACTAGCTCTGAGCTATGTATCTGATGGCGCCGAGAACGTCAAGTGAAGGCTCACATGTGCCAAGTAGCCTGGGAAGGCCTGCTTGCTAGTCGCGTTCTGGTGTCGTCGACCACGAAACGGAACAAATATTTCCTCCAATGAAGATGGCCTCATAAAAGTTGACGGCAAGGATGATGAAGCACACCCCCACCATCAGATTGTGGAGTATCTCCAACCAGGCAAGAAAAGAGGCTGACTCGGTGAGAATGGGCAGTTTTTGGAAAATGCAGTGCGGTCCTGTCCGAGGAGTAGGAGGGCACTCAGTTTAGCCTGAAAGCATGGAAGGTCGAGAGGTGTAGGTAATTCGATGACCAAAATGTGGAAGGGAGGAAGTGGAAAGATGGAATGTCAAACATGACGATGCTGGTTTGGATGAACTGGGGGGTGAATTGCGGGGAAAAAGCAGCCCCAAAAGTTGGCGTGGGGGAAGGAGCGGGTCGGCCAGGGGTGCTGGGGGGTTGCACCCCACCTTCAGTTCTGTCCACAAAATTCGCACACCCTCCCCATCCCCTCACGAGCCAGGACCCCGCCAATGAAAGCTTCCCCGCGTTCGAAGTCCGTACCGCCACCATGACAGCTTTTTTTTTTTTTTTTTTTTTTTTTTTTTTTTTTTTTTCCATGAAGCCTCGCTGCAAGCCGCCAAAGCCATGAAATTGTCTACAAGTAAAGCCCCCGGCATCTTGTGAAAATACACGGGACAAATCAAGCAACTACAAGTTTGCCTCCACGGAATGAAGCTGGCAATAGTGAAAGTTCAAGGACATCGAATATGGATCCAAAGATCGCGAGGCCATCAAGGTACACAACCCGTTCGCGGGACCCGATCGGCAGAATCCATCCCATGTGTAGACCGCGTATTGAGCAATTCCTTCTATTCGCTCCAATGATATCAATTCTTCCGAGGAGCACTAAAGTATGGACATCAGTTTCCCGAAGAGCCAAGTTCGAGATGACTTGGATGGCTATATACATCGTAGTGGAAGACCATCCTTGACGGTCAGTTGTTCAGAAACTCAACAAACGGCCCGAAGTGTATCAGGTTGAAAGTCGTGTCACGATAATTATTCCGGCCACGAGAAACGCAGTTGCTCTGTCTGCAGTGTCTATCCAACCCCGGCTAAGCTCTTCCCGTTGAGCTCCATCTATATACAAACGAGCGTCCAGCAAACAGCTTCTCCTTGGAGAGACAAAAACTGACTGCCATCCCTTCCTGTGAACCCCGTTCTCTTCCAATTGTCACTGTCAAATCGCCCAACATGGCCTCTCCCCTCAATGTGTTGATGGTAAGTTCGCCGTATCCAGATCCTGACTGGCACAATCACTGTCTTACTTGGTTAGGTTGGTACTGGTGAGTACACCACCGGCTTTGTCGGCGGCGGCGCCTCTGGCTCGGACAAGAAGGTTGGTGTTGTTGGACTGTCAATGTTCGATCTTCGTCGGCGAGGCAAGGTCGGCAAGCTCGGCATGGTTGGCGTCAATGGCACAAAGTTCCCAGCAATTCGTGAGTCCCCACTGAGGCAGGAAGTACGGATCCAATATACATACTGACCATTGCCAAACCTCCAGGGGAGCATCTCAACAAGAACATTACCCAAGTCTACAACAACCTCGACACCTCGTTTGAGTCCTTCCCTGCCGACAATGCCAAAGACCCGGACTCCTACAAGGCCGCCATCGACGCCCTCCAGCCCGGTGACGCCATCACCATCTTCACCCCCGACACCACCCACTACCCCATCGCCCTGTACGCCATTGAGCGCAAGATCCATGTCATGATCACCAAGCCAGCCGTCAAGGAGCTTGCGCACCACATCGCCCTCCTCGAGGCCGCCGAGAAGCATGGCGTGTACGTCTACATTGAGCACCACAAGCGCTTCGACCCAGCCTACGCGGACGCCAAGCACCGGGCCAAGAAGCTGGGCGACTTCAACTACTTCTATAGCTACATGTCGCAACCGAAAAGCCAGCTGCAGACGTTCGCCGCCTGGGCCGGCATCGACTCGGACATCTCGTACTACCTAAACAGCCACCACGTCGACATTTGCGACTCGATGGTGTCCCAGCTGGGGTACGTGCCCGTCAAAGTGTCGGCTTCGGCCTCCACCGGCGTCGCCGTCAGCCTAGGGTGTCACGAGAAGACCGAGGACACCATCAGCCTGCTTGTGCACTGGCAGAAGGAAGACGACCCAACCAAGCACGCCACGGGCGTGTACACGGCCTCGTGGACGGCGCCCCAGAAGGCCGGCGTGCACTCTAATCAGTACTTCCACTACCTGGCGCAGGGCGGCGAGATCCGCATCGACCAGGCCAAGCGCGGGTACGACATCGCGGAGGACTCGGCCGGCCAGTTGATGTGGTACAACCCGTTTTATATGAAGTATGCGCCCGACGAGGATGGCAACTTTGCTGGGCAGTCTGGGTATGGATATGTGTCGATAGAAAAGTTTGTCGATGGGTGTCGTGCTGTAAATGCGGGTACGTTGACACCCAAGGATTTGGATGCCAAGGGACTGCCGACGCTGAGGAATACCATTGCTACTACGGCTATCTTGGAGGCGGGGAGAAGGAGTATAGATGAGAAGAGGGAAGTGAAAATTGAGAAGAAGGATGGGCAATGGAGGCTTGTTTGATGATACTTAGTTGTCGGCTATTAGTTTTGGTCTTTTTTGCCTCAATTTGACAAAACCAGTGTTGTGCATTGACATCCACATAACTGGTCATCAAATCTTGCCCATCGCATTCATAACAGATAATCAAACACATGTGGCTTGGGGTATAAAACTTGCATTTCCAGTATCCCAGACAATCTTATGCCAGGACAGCATCACACCTTCATGCACTCATCCATCCCATACTTGGAGGTTAGCAAGCCCCATCCCTACAATCCTTGGGCGACTTGGCCACCTTCCATCCGTCTCAAACCTTCACAGACAGGACAGGAGTTTACTCGCCCAACTCCTTGAGAATAGCCTCCTTCAGACTCTCAGGCTTCGTAGTGCTCGCCCACCGTCCCTTGACCTTTCCGTCCTTTCCAATCAAGAACTTTTCAAAGTTCCACTTGATTCTCTTCAATCCCATCAGGCCAGGCTTCTCATTCTTCATCCACTCATAGAGGGGATCAGCATTATCGCCGTTGACCTCCACCTTCTTCATGATTGGGAAGGAAACGCCATAGTTAAGCTGGCAGAACGACTGGATCTCCTCCTCGGTGCCCGGCTCCTGTCCGCCGAACTGGTTGCAAGGGAAAGCGAGGATCTCAAAATCGTCCGGGTACTTCTCCTTGATCTCCTTGTAGACCTTTTCCAGGCCGGCGTATTGAGGCGTAAAACCGCATTTGGAGGCGACGTTGACGATCAGGACTACTTTGCCTTGGTAGGTGGCGAGGGGGAGTTCGGAGCCCTTCTCTGTGGGTTGGTTAGTATGGGTGGTGGTGATGATGATGATGTGGTGGTGAGGGACCAAGATAGAGAGGGGCGAGGGCTTACTGTCAAGAGGCTTGAAGTCGTAGATAGTAGTGGCAGAAGACATGTTGAGTGTGGCTGTTGCGAAGCGTCTGGAAATAGCTGGCTGGCAACGGAATGCTGGATTGGAAACTGGCAGTCGAGGCTGTTGTTGAGGTAGAATCGGTGATGGTTTCAAATGACGAGTGGTGAGTGAGGTGCGAGCAAGTGTAGCTACTGAGCGATGATGGTAGCGGGGTATCATATGGTATGTATGTGCAAGCAAGGACAAAGATCAAAGGAGTCGAGAATGACACGATGAGAGGCGAAAGGTGGTCTTGATATTTGAGTGGGCACTGGCGGCGAGAATTCCGTCCGACGTTTGAAAAGGCCCTAGCTCGCTCGGAGAGAACAAGGATCGTGAGGTGAGACAGGCACACTACACTACACTACACAGTCCGATGCTGGTTAGTTTGTTACCTCGGTACACTAGAGGTAGGTAGGTACTTCTGGCAGTGTACACTAGACGAAATCTATCTCAAATAGAGTCCCAAAGCTCACAAAATGAGACAAGTCAAAATGGCTGAGTACGAATTATAAAGGCATTGGCAGGAATTAACATGACGTATTGATAATCGAAATGGCGTTTCCCAAGTAGTATCACGCGTTACTTAGCTATGAAAACGCATAGGAAAGTTGAAACGAGGTCTCAAGCTAACAAACAAAAACCAGCACTGGACTGACATACCTACCCCCGGCGCGGGTCTGGGAGTTCCCGAGCAGCGTGGTTCCGACGGAGTTATTCCCGCGTGGGGTCATTGGCTACAGCGGTCCCCTTCTTGGTGGTTCCATTCCATCACGGCAGTGGCACATGTCCGGTTGAACTTCACCTCAGCATCATGCCCGTCGAGTTTTCAATCCCGTCTTCATGTTTCATCCAGTGTTTGCAGTTTATGGTTCAGACAAACAACTGTTCGTATCTCAACTCTCTGCACCATATCAGTCTTCAGTTTGTTACGGCCGATTCATGGTGATAGGTACTCGGCACCCTGGCTTGGTGTTGTGATATACTGCGATAATTACTAAGCAGTAAGCCCGGTACCTCGGCAGGGACCGTGATGTGTTCAGGGAACCCCAACCGAGCGTCAAAGTCCGCGTCGGCGTTGACATGCGCCGCCTATTTTCCGATCGCTGACGACTGCCCCGCTACGCAGAAACGCTCTGAAGATCGGGAGGGAACTCTTCAAACTCTTCATATGAATGAACTCCAGCCACGGTGAAAAGGCACCCGAACGGTCCTGTCACGCCACATGGATTCGAGAATTCTACAACCCTCATTTTTCTCGGTTGCCCGGCAAGCCTGTGGGTACACCAACATGAACGAACCACCAGTGATGGCGGGGAACACAGAGCCTTGGCTTTGACATCATCATTGCATTAGTGGGTGATTATGTATTTGCATCTGTCTTTGCGAACCCAAAAAACACAATTTCAACAACACTCGAACGATGATTCGTGAAGCTTCAACAAAGAATGGTAGCAGAGGAAACATCAAGACATGGGTCTAGTGCGGGGCATTGAATGTCTCTCTAAAAATCAACATTCCGGCACAGAAAGGAAACCGCAGCAATGAAAGCGTGGGGGACCTAACGGGTAGCTCGTGGGTGGGATGGGGTGGGCCGTTGATAGCCACCCCAGTTGGAGTTGACGTCGTTCAAACCTGGAAAACATGATTTCCTCACTTGCAGAACGAAGCATCAACACATACATTCAACACTGGCGTCGAAGCTTCCAAAGTTGATGAACCTTTCGCTTTGTAACCAGCTCGTCATCATGGCTGCCCAGCAACAAAAGAGAAACATTGTCATTGTCGGTAGGTTCAGGGATTATTTCCATTCCCCGCATACGACAGCTCTCAACTAACACAACATCACCAGGTGGCGGCATCATCGGTTGCACAACCGCCTACTTCCTCACCCGCCATCCCAAGTTCGACCCGGCCCAGCACACCATCACTCTTCTCGAGGCCAGCTCCATCGCCGCGGGCGCGTCTGGAAAAGCCGGCGGTCTCCTCGCCCTTTGGGCTTATCCCGAATGTCTCGTTCCCCTCTCCTACCGCCTGCACCGGGAACTCGCCGATGAGCACAACGGTGCCGAGCGCTGGGGTTACCGGCAGGTCGGCTGCGGAACCATCGGTGCGGTCGTCAAGAATGCCGACCTTAAGGCTCGCGGCCAGGGAACATCAGCCTCGACGACATCCGACTTGAAGGAGCCTAACGGTACCACAGCAGCAGCCCCCAACGCCCACCTCCCCATCCAGGCCGAAGATGAAAGAACCTCTAAAGATTGGGAAAAACTCCCCAAGCAAGACGTAGCCGCGACCTCCCTCCTCTCCAAATCCGTCCTGCCCCCGGATCTCGACTGGGTTGACGCCTCGCTCGTGCGCTCATGGGATGTCATGGGCCGACGCGGGGAGACCGAGACCGCGCAAGCACACCCCTTCCACTTTACCAACGCCATGGCGGATCTAGCCGCCGCCAAGGGCGTGGACATTCGGTTGGGCGCCAAGGTGACCAACATCACTTCTTCTTCTTCTTCAGCCCCTAACGGCAGGGTAGACACAGTCGAGTACCAGGACCGCAACAACAACGACGAAATCAAATCCATTACGGGAGTAACAGACGTGATCCTGACCGCCGGCCCTTGGACGGGTAAAATCTTGCCTCGGTCCAAGATCGAAGGGTTGCGCGCCCACAGCGTGGTGTACGAGGCGGAAGTGAGTCCGTACGCGGTGTTTACGGATATTGAGCTGCCGAGCGACTGGACGCCGGAGCATCGGCGGGCAAAGGGGCAAAAGAGGAAGCATAGGGGACATGTGGATCCGGAGATTTATGCGAGGCCATTTGGGGAGGTTTACGCTTGTGGTATGTGAATGGTCTTCTTTCTTTCTTTCTTTCTTTCTTTCCTTGGTCTCATTTTTCCTCCTCTCGTTTCTCATTTCATTCCATTCCCTGGCAACAAGTCTGTACGACTTGACATGGGTATGACTAACAAATCAAAATGAACAGGCGAACCAGACAAAACCATTCCTCTCCCCGAAACAGCAGACCAAGTTCGATGCGACGAAGACCAATGCAACGACCTGATCTCCTACATCGCTACCGTCAGCCCGATTCTTGCGTCTGCCCCCGTCAAGGCCAAGCAGGCTTGCTACCTTCCTCAGCATGTCCGGTTCGGAGAGGAGAGGGGTCCGCTTATAGGCCAAACTTCTACGCCTGGCTTGTGGATTGCGGCCGGACATACGTGCTGGGGGATCCAGAACGGACCAGCCACCGGCTTGTTGATGTCTGAACTGATTTTCGATGGACAGACCAAGAGTGCGGACATTGACAAGCTGGATCCCAAGAAGTTCAAGGTTTAAAGGCTTCAAAGGACTTATGGGGGTGGAGTGTCACTTATGGCAAGGTAACGAGCGGAGTGGTGATGCGAGCATTAGACATGAAGTAATGGACGCGGCTTACAACAGTACCATATATACTAAGGCAATGTTTCCCTGTTCTCAAATTTGCTAAGCGTATCCTAATGATGTTCAGGAGCGGCGAGCATACATGACAATAACCCCCTACTCGTTCCTCGTCATCCTCATTCTCCTGGTTTATACAGTCATAATCATACATTATCCACCACAATCCTTCCTCGTCGCCCGTCTGCCACTACTAGTAACCTAGGTCACCACCCACTTAGCCCTGCCAATGGAACCGGCTTTGTCTCAGCATGGTTATCAACCCAATGGGCAGCGCCGCCTTATCAACGACCGTCAGTCCACCAAACATGTCCACTACCTCCCGATGGAACAGTTGCACCACCCACTTGTCGTAGCTGCTCATGTCCCTCCAATCATCCTCGTCCTCCAGCGCCGCCTTGATATCGCCCTTGAGCTCTACGTTCTTCGTTGTCGGCTCCATCAATAGGTTTTGGTAAAGCGCCTTCAGCCGCGGCGACGTCAGCTCCCTGTAACGTGTGAACTCCTCATAACTCATGAAAGGCTCTCCCTCAAGGTCCTTAAATGAGTCTTCTCTGGTCGAACCACCAGCCGTCTTGTTCACAGCGCGCTCCATCTCGTAGGTCTCAAACCTCTCCTTCGCTCTCCGGTACGCACGCTCTTCCTCCTCTTCGTAGTCGGCCAGCATCTCCTCGGGCGTCTTTTCCAGGTCATCGCGAATCAGGAAGAGCGAGACGAACGGATTGCGCAGACCGAGACCGCCCATTGAAGTGGGGAAAAATAGGTATCCATCCGGGATGGATGAGATGCCGAAGCGTGAGGCGATCGTATCCTTGACGTAGGCGCCCACCCCGCCGGCGTGGTTAGGGAACAGCTTCTGCTGGATCCGCGCAAACATGGCAAGCATGCTGTCAACATGGGCACGGCCACTGCAGGCGGCGGGGCGGCCAAAAAAGTTGGTGAAAAAGCGGTCGCCGTAGATGTTCCAGGCTTGCACCCAGTCAAATACTGATTGGCAAGCACCCAGCTGGCGGCGGAGTTCGTCGATATGCTCGTCGACCTTCGACTCGTCGATTTCGAAGTGACCCGCTGAGGCGTTAAGCTTAAGTAAACCCCAGGTAACAGGGCCGGTCGGAAGGTTGTGGCTGGTTTTGGTAGTCTCCTCCTCCTTGGTTGACTCCAAGCCCACCTTCTTGTTCTTGGGATGAATAGTCGCTGATCCGGTCTTCTCCTCATTGAGGCTCAGTCCCATGACCTCGCTGAACTCCGTCACTACCTTCCATGCCTTGGAGCACTTCTCTGTGGTACCCCAAAGCCACATGTCGTCGTGAAGCCGGTAGAGAGGCGTTCCATCGGCCTTCTGGTTGACCGCAAAGTCCAGGCAAAACAGCAGGGACTCGCCCACGACATCGGAGATTGTGCTGCTTATCGGGGTGCCACGCTTGCGGATGCCAAAGGGAGTGTCAGGGTTCGGGTCCCCTTTGAACCGAAGAGGAGCCTCTAGCACACGCCTGAAGAAGTCAAGCCACTCTTCGTTGAAGCCAAAGAACTCCATCACGGCGAAGATGCTCGAGTGCGGCAGTCCAGGACCAAACCATTGAAAATCAGACCGAAGCACGGTTAGTTCGTTACCCATGTGCGTCTGGACGAGAATGTCGGCTTCAAGCCGGTGCATGAGACCCTGTACCACTTTCAGAGGCGAGTCTCGTGTGTCCTCTTCGCTGTCCGCGTCTGATGAATCATACCCGCCGCGGACCTCCGACATCGATGCGGGGAGATGATCCAGCAGAATCTTGTCATGGAAATAATCCTCGCGCTTATGGGCGATGCTATCGGCCTTGAAGAGGGGTTTCTTTTCGTCCAGAAAAAACTGTCGACGTCTCGCATCCTGCTTCGACATGGGTCTCGTGTCATCCTTCCACACACCTCTGGTTTTGATGAATCTCTCGAAGTGTTGTCGAACCAATACTGCCCATTGGCGGAAAATGTACTCGAGGAGCAGCGAATGCAGCAGGTCCTCGTCTAGGAAGAACCTGTACTTCCCATTCAGAGCCCGGCGCTGCTCGACCACCACAGGCGCCTCCCAGGTCCAAGACGCGCGCGCATCCATACGCATGTTGAGCACATCTGCGATCTCCTGCAGGACGACCGAGTTGTTCAAGAAGTCGCGAAGGGTGCTGCGCTTCTCACCCGTAATGTTGTTGCTTCGCAGGATGCTCTGGATGCATACCTTGACCTGTAACACGGTGAAGGGGTGTGACCAGATCGCATTCTTGTTGTCCTGAAGTTCCTCAAGACTCTCTCTCAGCTCCGCCAAAGCGCGCTTGCAGTCCTTCGACGACCCGGCAAAGACGTCCTCCAGATACCGCTTGATGGCGTCTTTGTCGGTCTCCTTGGGGGTAAAAACAAATTCTTCCCACGTCTTCCTCTGTTCATGCATCTCTTTCCTCCCAACGGGGACAAAGTCGTCCTTATCAGCCTTGTCACCCCCTTCAGTGACCGACATCTTCTTATCCTGCCCAGACGCAGCGGTCCACTCCTTGACCATCCGGCCGTACATGCTGGCAAATCTGTACTTGTTGCTTGTCATGTCCAACTCCTTCTTCACCGTCTCCTCATACTCGCGCAGAAGATCCTTCGACACGGACGGATCAAAAGCCGCCTGTTCGACGAACCGCTTCATGTTGTCGGCCGACAGCATCGGGTTGTCAGCTCTTCTGATGGATGGCAGCTTCTCGCGACCATCAAGAAGAGCCTCTGCACGCTTGCGGACGTCGGCCTCCTTGTCGGCAGCGGAGAGCAGAGCGTCTTTGGCCGACTCGTATGCATCCTTTTGTTTTTGGAGCTGGTCCAGCTTGATGGAGGTGATGGAGGAGAGGGTTTGGGAGAGGACTTCTGAAGAAGCGGCCATGTTTGCGGGTGTTGATCCGAAGAAGCGTGTATGCTGACTATGATATGATGAAGAGAGAATTGACTGTGACAAGTGGTAAGCTTTTGCCGGTAGGGATAAACTTTCTGCGTTGTTTATCCACTTACTGGTGACGATTGAGCTCGATACTGGCGATCAGTGGGTAACCAAAAAAGAGGAGTTGCGGCTGAATGTGTCTGGACCAGAAAAGATGGAAGACGAAGCGGAGGGCGGCCGCCCTTATGTACTCTACTGAAGAGGTATCGCATGTTTCCCGTCTGTCACTGCCACAAACGACGAGAGTTTGTTTTTTCTCTCATGTTGAAGGAGCGTTTCCTGACGCGAGGCAACTTGGGAAGCTACAGCCATCCTGCAAACAGCGCCAACACCACGGCGAAGGAGTAACACCACCTCAGTCAACGGCGAACTTAATGAAGAGGTCTAGCTACCTTCTGCTTTGGGACCGGCGAGTTGGCGTACTAGGTGGGCAGGTTTGCTTTGCAGTACACACAGTGGTGAGTCAACCGGCCAGACCTGCCCGTCGGGTGCGTAACCCTTACCTGCCTCCAGTTTCCTCGTCCAACGTGTTTGCATCGTCAAGCATATGAGTTGATGAAAGAGCAGCCAGACCACCGCGATGGGGTTGACCGACATACTGCAGTCACGCATAGTGTCGATTTTGGTTCATTTGCTTCAGTTCTTGCTGACATTTGCGTGGTGTCGGAAAGTCAGAACGAAGCTGCAAAACACGGCCACAGTGTCTCAAGTGTCCCTAAGCACTGTGCAGTGTGCCATGCAATCAACTTACTACTTACTGGAGTATAACCTTTACAGAACTACATAAACAGCGATACGCATTCACAAGATCTAGTACGGTGTTTCTTTATTGGATAAAGTATGAGTATTGACAACACGAACACGCCTAGGGAACCTGACCCGAGGTCTCGAGCTAATAATCCAACCAGTATCGGACGACTGTAGACTACAAGACTGAAACTGAATGCGGTTGGCCGAAAGCCGAGCCAGTGTCTTATCATATTTCTCGCCGAGTGGACCTTTCCAATTACAACGATTGAACACCTAACCTTCCCTTTAATACCTACACTCCTGGGAAAGATCTCACTTGTAACAGTTTTATTTTATTGATGGGCCAGGAAGGAAGTGCTCAGTCGTCATTGTGTGTATGTTCAGTATCTTCTCGGTCTTGTCAGTCTGACTCTCTCGCTCGAGGCAAGTGACGGAATGTGTCCATGGCGGCTTCTCATTGAATCTTGGGCATCAGAATCTCCCTCCTTTCTCCGAAACGCAAGTAAAAGCTTCAAGACAAACATGAAAACCAGCGTTGGCTTTACCCCCCTTCGCCGAACATGCACATTTGACAGCAGCAGCATTTCTATTACTCTGCATCGAGAGTGGGAAACAACATGTACGTGGAAGTTGCTGTAAGTAAGTAAAGTGAGACCATCAGGCAATACCGGAGGGTTGTAGGCCGCCTCGTCAATATTCTCAGGCTGAGGATCTCTCGTCCAGCCAATGTTTTTTTTTTCGATGTCAGTGGCTTGACAATGACCTAGTGTATAGGGCTGAAGACGCGAAAGATGTGGATGGCATCACCTAATAGAATTGCCGATGATCTTGGCGCCACTTTACCAGCCAGACTTTCCACTTCATGGCCTGCTCTGATTCTGCACGTTTTGATATTTAAAGCAGCAAAAGGGGAAGTGTAGAAACGGAATGGATAAAAATATCATAGTTATCATTCGATTCATAATTACCACGTTTCCATCTTTTCCAATGCTACCCAACCAAACCCACCGCCTCTATCTAGCTCCAACGTTTCGCCTCTAGTCATCCATTGGAGCGTCCACAAGCGTCACTGGCGCATGGCCGCCACTCAAGTTCTCCTTTTCACTTCCGCTTGGCTGTTGAGAGGCGGCTGTCGTCGAGGCAACCACAGGGATGCGACGGCCAACCGAGATGCGTGCACCACTCCGACCCAGGCTGTTGCGCTTCTCTACTAAGCTGCTACGCTTATCCGCCAGTGGATCAGCCGTCTCGGACTTGGGCGTCCCCGCCTCAGCAGGGGCAGCGCCATTCGGGTTTCCATCGGCTGGGTGGCTTAGGGCTGAACCAGCCTCTTCCGGAACCTCGAGACTGGACCTCTTGGGCAATACCGGGCCCAGGCTTGGCCTCTTACCATGCTGCTGGCTAGAGGTAGGGCTCGTAATACCGCTGGGGGAGATGGGGAACCGGGTCTCAGGTCCGCCAACGCTCCTGTCGCGACGGTGAGCGCGTGGGCCCGGTGCTGGCGAGGTAGCTCTGCTTCTGCTACCATTGGCCTTCTCCAGAATCAATCGGTTTCGCTCCTCCATGTTCGCCCTGCGGTTGCTCTCGTCGGTGGAAATTGCGCGTGGGCGGTTGTTGTTTCCCGAAATGGTCGCAGACGCGCCAAGAGTGGACATGCGCTTCAATTCACTGAAGATCGCATCCTTATGCGCGAACAAATCGCGAATCAAGCGGTAGGCGTGCTTCTCTTCCATGGTGAGTGATGTTTCGGTACGTGGGCGGAGAATGCATGGGGCCAAGGTAGTTGCCAGCTTGGCCACATACTCCTCGTCGGCAGAAGTGAGCTCGATCAATCGGGTGAAGTGGTTCATGCAAGCATCGAGGGTAGCAATGTTGGTGAGCCGTAGCTGCGACAGAGTCTGTTGGAGAACAGGGATGCGGGCGTCTTCGCTGCTATCTTGTGTTGTGTTGTAAATGGTCCGGATGATTTCGTAGACATGAGAGGATACCAAAGAGTCTAAAATATCCGTGTCAGTAAAGCAATACCAATATTCCAGTGGGGGTTTAATGAGAGCATACCAGGAAGTTCGAGTAGGTAGAGTTTCAACAGACTGGCGACGGTGGGAACATCAAACTCGGCAAAGACTTCCAACGAGGGAGGTTTTCCATTGTTGACCTTGGCGCGCAGCTTGTGGGTGTCCTTGAGGGAGACTTCATGAAGCCATACTCCACGACGAGCCTCATCGCCCTCTAGATCCGGGTAATGGTGATCTAGGTACGTTAGCAGGGTAGTGACAATGATCGGCACACGCTTCTTATCCGCCCGAGCACGGGCCTCGAGATCTACACCAAATGTTTGCTCATCAACCTTGTTGTAGTAGTTTTCGTAGGTCACAACCTTGGGCACAAAGCTGCCAGTTCGATAGTTCTCCAGCAGGTAACGGAGGTCGCCCAGTGGCTGTACCGTCTCCTGGTAAAGCATCATGTTGTCTACAGTAGATTGCAGACTGGGAATGACGTTGCTGATGGTACCAGAAAAGTCCAGCACCACGGTCTTGATAGCCTTGAGCCTGTCAAGCTCGCAACGCTCGAGGAACTTGAGGTGCAGAAAGATGGCCTCCTCCAGTTCACAGCGCATCTCATCCAGCTTCTGGACGGCAGCCTTGTACTTCTCATCAGCTTCTCTGGCCTCACGGCGCATGCGCTCAGACGGAGTTTCGTTGGGGCGCCCATTGTTGACACCGGGGATGTTCCAGTTGGCAAGGTACTCGCTCACGACACCGACAACTGGCGAGTCGCTCCCTTCGGACCCGTTGGATAGGGGCATCGAGAATGTTCGGCCAACGGGAGCCTTCTTTTCCGGAACACCAGCCAGCTTGAACGCCTGAGGGCGCCATTGGTAGGACATCCTGGAGCTGTTGGCGAAAGTGTTTCCGACATTACCGATCAGACGTAGAAAGCCGTGGGTGATGAGATCCTGGCCGATCCTCTCAGCATAACTGATGCTCGTGGTGCCCATATGTCGCTGCAAGTATTCGACAATATCCGTACCAGCCGATGTGTTCTGATACGTTCCCAGGATCGGGACCTTGGTCTCGCCCATCTTGATGTTGTTGAGCATGTGGGCGAGGATCTTCTTGATCTGGTCAGGCGAATAGGTCTCATCGCCAATCTCGTACGGCTCGTCATCTTCCTCCTCCTCGGGCTCAACCTTGATTTCGGGAATTGGCTGCTTGGGTTTCGGACTCGCTGCCGATTCGGGGTCTTGGAAGGCCAACTTGTTTTCTTCTTCGAGATCCTCTACCAGGCGGCACTTGTTGAAATAGTTGCTGCGCAGCTTCTTGACAAGTTCGGCTTGTTTGTCGTGGGCCTTGATCTTGGCCTGAAGCTCTTCCTGCGAATTTTGTAGCCGAGATTCGTGGGCGTCGCACCAGCGCGTAAAGGGGTTCACAACTAGATCTCGGATGTTTTGCGCAATTTTCTTGTGGTTCTTGGAGGCGTCCTCCATCTCGGTCCGCACACCTTCATAAGCCTGGCGGGGGAGACAAGTCAGTCAACGCTGTCTCGGCCAAGATGAAGCCTGGTCTGGCTTTGCTGGCATGTGATTCGTACCTTGCGCACACTTGCGCCATCGTCGCGGTTGAAGCCGTTTGGGATCTTGTCAACAGCAGGGGCAATTTCGGATAGACGCTGACCATACACGTCCTCGGCTTCGGCGCGCATGCGAGCGATGGTCAGGAGTTGGCGGTTTTCGACCACGCCTTGCTGGAGCTTGCCAAACAGGACCCCGAGGCCTGAGCACGTGTGCGTCAGCACAGCCGACAACGACAGCGGATCTACTGGCGACAGCCAAACTACTTACCTGCGGCGTAGTCGTTGGACCAGAAGGAGTCCGCGAAGCCCGGCATTGTGGTGAGGAGGGCTATCGCTCGATAGGATGAGTCGGTGGGATGTAGCAGAGACGATGATGTTTGGGATGAATTAACTGTGGGAATTCTTGTGGCAGCAGGGGCAGCGAGAGTTTTTGGTCGGCGCGCTACGCTGGAGTGAGGCTGAGGCAAGCAGGATCCCAGCTGATAATCCTCGCCTAGTTCTGATTGAGGAGAGGCCGGTGAATACGGTATACGATCCGTCAGGGTAGTCCAAGTCGGGGTCCGGGGTGGTTGATCCCGTCAGTGTCGTTTTCTCGAAGAGCCAGTTGAACTAGGCGGCGGGAAGGTGGGTAAGTCTGGCGGGTCTGGGATTAAAGGGGGGCGCAGCGCCGCCGAGTGGCCTGGGGATGGAGACGACGCAGGCACCGTGATAGCAGCGGGGGTCTCTTTCAACGGAGCTCAAATGCCGGTCTCCTTGTCGTGGGATCCAACTATCCGGATATGGGACCAAATCACTGCCTGAATAGTAGACCAGGTACCTTGGAGATGAGAATGAAGTTGGCGGTGATCGCCGACGGAACCAGTAGGAACAACAAGAGCAAAATGCAGTGGCCTGCTAAAGTGTCAAAAGTAAAAGGAAGTGAAGTTGAAGAAACGCTGGGGGAAGCTTCAGGGGAGGGGAAGGAGAAGCACCGGCACCCAAATTGGAAAGACACAAGGCAAAAGTCGTTGTCGATGAGTGTCGCAGTGAGAAATAGCAGTCAGTGAGCAAAAGGGACGAACGGGCATTCGTGAAACAGGGGCAACACACACTCAAACTCCTTCAAGTACAGCACGCAGATGGATGCACTTTTACCTACACTATACTAGAAGAGGTGGACGGCAGGATGTGGTGCGCTTGCAGGTAAGTAAGGTAAGGTAGGTACGGGCAGGCCGAGTGGAAGTGGAGGTGCAAGGACGACAGTGTCCACCGGGAAGTGTCATGGTGGGTTGGTTGTCGTCGGGCAGCCAAGTCTCACTCATTCAGTTCCAAGTTTCATTGGAGGAGGGGCAGCGTCCAGAAGGATCCACACGTGAGGTACAAGTACGCCCTAAAATAGGTAACCTCAACCTCCTCGTGTAGGGGTCGAGGGGTCTTGAGACGGGATGGAGCCTATCAACCTAGAGTTCCCGTGCCTGTTCCTTTCTGGAAACTTGGTTTTACACTACTACTCGAAGGTGAGTGGTCTGCGGAACTGAATGACTGAGACTTGGGCTGTGAACCCCACTGTCCCTCCTCGGATGTGCCAAGACCGTTCTCGTTGGATGTCCAGGCAGAGCACAAAGTGTAACAAAGCATCACCATCGGGCAGCTTCGCCGCCAGCAGGGTCAAGATCACCGATGAGATACAACAGAATATGAACGGTTGAGTAGTATTGTGCTTCGGGCTTGTCTTTTGTTTTGATGGGAGATGAAGGAACTGGAATGGCTCAAAGGCTGTGGTCAGTCAGTCATGGATGCTGCCGTGCACTTTATATACAACGCCAAGATAGCCACCCTCGAGCCGCTATGGTAGATCTCAGTTACAGTGAGTCTTCATTACTCCTTTCTAGTTTCTACTTATTCGTGCCTCAACTTGGATTCTAGATGTAGTTACTTGAGACGCAGCGGTAGGTCTACACCAAGTATACACGCTTATTTTGCATCTAACTCAAGATGCGTATGCATTTCCAGGTCGCATCATGGATGACATGACAACGCCGCGGACTATCAACTAAGATGAAGTAACCCCGCTAAGCTTTAGGCGATTTCTAATCCTTCAACGACAACACCGTAAACACGCTCCCCTGTTTCGACTCACGCATCTCTTTTCCCTTTTCCCTCCTTCATCGCTTTGTCGGCCATAACGTTGGTGAAACAGTCGTCCCTGAGAAGATGAAGGAAGAAAAGCCCCGCGATGTCGGGGATGATGTTGAGCGTTTATCCGCCCCCAACACGCGCCGCCAACGGCGAGGAGTTGGCCGCAAGTTCTGGGGCGCCGTAATCATCTCTCTTTTGTTGCTCCACCTTCTCGTCCGACCCGCCAGCTATGGCATGTCGGGTTGCCTGCCCGGCTACCCGAGGGAGAAGAGCATTGAGAAACGCGTGAAGCGTATCCTGTCACACACTCCCTTGATCGGTACGACCACAAATGAATAACTATTCACCAAATACTGACATAGAGTCTAGATGGACACAATGATTTGCCAATCCTGCTGCGAGCCGCTTTCAAGAACCACATCAATGATAAGAACTTTACCACCGGCTGGGAAGACGGCACGCTCCCCGGTCATGTCGACCTTGCGCGCCTGAGAGCTGGCATGAACGGAGGGGCCTTCTGGAGCTTGTTCTGGCCTTGCCCTGCCAACGGCTCCGACTTTTCTGATGAAAACTATCTGCCCGGTGGGTTCAACCTCTTACACAGCCTTACTGCATAGCACGCAACGCAAAGAGAAAAGAGTCTGACATTATCCCTTGCCGACCACACAGCCGTCCAGGCTACTCTCCAACAGATCGACCTAGTCGACCGCCTCAAAGCCGCCTATCCCAAGGACCTCGGGCCGGCAGTCTCCAGCAAAGCCGCCTACAAGGCCTGGAAGCACCACAACCAGCTCATCTCGCCCATGGGCATCGAGGGCCTGCACCAGATCGGCAACTCGGCCGCCACGCTGCGGCGCTACCACGCCCTGGGCGTCCGCTACGCGACCTTGGTCCACAACTGCGGCAACAAGTACGCCGACGCGGCCCTGCAGGAGAACCCATTCCGCAAGGCCCCGTCCCACTGGGGCGGCGTCAGCCCGGCCGGCGAAGCCCTAGTCAACGAGATGAACCGCATCGGCATGATCGTGGATCTGGCCCACACCAGCGTCGACACGATGAAGGATGTTTTGGGTGGCTCGGGCAAGGACTGGAAGGGCAGCAGGGCCCCCGTAATCTTCAGCCATTCGAGCGCCTACGCGCTGTGCCCCCACCCGCGCAACGTGCCGGATGACGTCCTTCGTCTGGTCAAGGAGCGGAACTCGCTGGTCATGGTCAACTTCTCGCCCGACTTTATCTCGTGCGTGGCGGCGCCGGACAGGGACGATGGGCTGCCGGAATTTTACCCGGCCAATGCGACTTTGGAGCATGTGGCTGACCATATCATTCATATTGGCGAACTGATTGGATATGATCATGTCGGTCTGGGTAGTGACTTTGATGGGATTCCAGTCGTCCCGAAGGGACTGGAAGATGTCTCGCGCTACCCGGACTTGGTAGCCGAGCTCCTTCGACGGGGTGTTAGTGATGAGGATGCGAGCAAGGTCGTGGGCGGTAACATACTCCGCGTGTGGAGGGATGTTGAGCTCGTGGCGGCTACGATGCAGGCTGCTGGTGAGTCGGCTCTGGAGGATGATCTGCCTAACTTGATGCCCGAGGAGTAGACATCTGAATGGGCGGCACGTAGAGGAGATTAGCGTGTTTTCGCACAAGTATTTTGACAGCGTAGATAGCGCCAAGATGAGCCTGCAGATGGCAAGCTGCTTATATAAAGACACAAGACCTGGCTAGCATATAGACTGGGGAGCTGGGTATCATAAATGTCTGTCGTAATTCCAGTCAAAAAGCAACAAGTTGCCCATGTTTTGACTTGATGCGATGAATTGCTCTACAACGCCGCGCCTGATTCCTTTTGCGTCCCAGCGTGTCTTCGCTCTGGCTTGACGTATCGTACACTGATTTTGCCTGCCTGCCTGTCCTAAAAGCTCGACAACACCCAGCCGAGCCACGTCAGGCACATCTCTTTCATATCTGTCCATGCATTTGATCCCATGGTCCGACAACCATCGAAGCATGTGTCGCATGACAGAACTGCTCCAGAAATATCCAGACGTCTTGGTATTCTCCAAAGTTCCCGTCACCATTACCGCCATCGACTCGCTCAACCGTGGCGCTCGATCTTGTTGAGCTTCCTGGCGTTGGCGATCTGGTTCCTCGTCTGCTGACCGCGCACGGGCAGACCCATGGCATGGCGACGACCGCGGTAGGTACCCATATCACGGAGGCGCTTGATGTTGTCCAGCACCAGCCTCCTGGCGTCGTTCTCGATCGTCATGGTCGACAGTTCGGCCGTCAGGGCAGTGACGATTTTGGGGGGGAGAGTGCCCATCTTCGCGCGCGGGTGGATCGAATACTTTGCGAGGATGCGGGCAGAGGCCTGCTGGCCTAGGCCGTAGAAGCTCTCGAGAGCTTTCTGTGGTTCGCAAGTGGAAGGTTAACCAGGGTGATTCTTCGAGCGCAGAGGAGGACGAGGACGAGGACGGGGAGGAGAGCGCACCTGGACGAGCTTGTGCTCATTGAAGTTGACTCCCAGGATGAACACCTAGTGATAAAACGTTAGAACTCTTGAACAAATATTCGAGGAAATCGTAGAGGCCGTCGTAGGTACCATCTTGTTAGCCGACGATAAGTCACCTTGTCGCAATGGGCATAACTCGGTTCAGGAATCGCGGAGGAGTCTCGACTCTCTCAGCAACCCGCAACCAACCCGCGATTTGGAACCGGGCGTGCAGACTTGCCGGGCAGGCGGCGGATCGTGGGGGAGCCCGCATTGGCCGGTGCAAATCCGCAGCGGAGCATTTGGGGTGCTGGACAGCTGGCATCGAGTACCCCGCCAGCTGTCGCCATAAAGGTTATACACATGCGATTGTACCTCATGCATACACTTTACCGTGTGAGTCTTGCGGAAAGAAAGCCAAAATTTCATGGCGATGTGCCAAAAATGCAGATGAACAACCACTCACCATACACATCATGACGGTCGACTTTACTGCGAGGCCGGAAAGGCCTCTTCCATACTCGGATGATTTTTCATCTGCAGACCAATATGTCGACAGCCTGCTGGACTTTGCGACCAATTCCCACCTTTTCCAGTTTCTCTGTGGTGGTGTCCACATTCTTGACTTCTTCACCAGCGAGCCCGGCCTATTTGTCTCTGCCGTTCCCAAGGAATGGCAGGACTACCTGGTGCAGACCGAGCCCATGGTCCTCTTGGATTTCTTGATGAGAGATGATCTTGACACACTTGCCGCGCAAACTGGCCCCGGACAGCCTCCCGAGACGCTGATTCAATATGTCAAGGACATCAGGAAACTTTCGTTACGACGCTCCTTCCAGCCCAGCAAGCCAAAACTACCAGTGCTTCCTCGGCAGGTAGCTTTGGGAATGAACACCAAGAAAGTTCACGAAGTCACTCACTTTTCCGGATACATCGACAGGCTCTCGGAGGACGTCGCTCGGGTTAGGGGAAAGGAACTGACGCACTTGGTAGACTTTGGCAGTGGCCAGAATTATCTAGGCCGCGCTCTGGCGAGTCCTCCGTACAACAAGCATATCGTTGCCGTGGAGAGTAAGGAGGCCAACACAGCAGGCGCCAAGGATCTCGATATCTTGTCTGGTTTAGCTGAGCGGGAGAAGAGAATCCGCAACAAGAAGCTCTACCACCGCATCATGGAAAGTGTAGATCCGTCAGAAGCCAATGATGAAGAGGCACTGAAGCGCGCCGCAAAGGCACTGGGTGTGACAGACGAAGATATTGCTACCATTGATCTCCGATCGAGAAAGGAGCTTCAGGCCACTTATGCGCGGGAGGAAGGAAAGGGCAGCATTGAGTACGTCGTTGCCAAGTTGGGAGATGCCGACTTGGCCCCTGTGATCTCCCAGCTGGAGTACACGGAAACCCACAGCGAGGATGATCTCAGCATGATGGCTGTGTCCATCCACTCATGTGGCAACCTCTCTCACTACGGCATCCGGTCCATGGTTCTGAACTCGTCCATCCACGCTGTTGCAATCGTGGGTTGCTGCTACAACCTTCTCACCGAAAAGCTGGGTCCTCCGACTTTCAAGCCTTGCTTCAGTCGGCCGACCCTTCAGCCATTGAATGCACGTGTTGTCAGGGAGTCCGAGAGACGAGATCCCCAGGGTTTCCCCATGAGTGAGAAACTCTCCACCTACAATGACCAAGGCATCCGACTCAACATCACAGCGCGTATGATGGCGTGCCAAGCACCCGGGAACTGGACCGACAAGGAGAGTGATGCCTTCTTCACCCGCCACTTTTACCGTGCCGTCTTGCAAAGGATATTCCTCGACAAGGGGGTCATTTCCAAGGTCTACCACGGGCCAAGCGATGGCGAGGACGAGGGCGAGGATGGCAACGAGAGCCCGTTCAACTTCAGCACCAACCCCGTCGTGATCGGCTCACTCAGGAAGCAATGCTACACCTCGTTCAGCGCCTACGTCCGCGGAGCGATCACGAAGCTGACGACCAACACGGACTTTAGCCAGTACAGCCAGATTGTACGCGAGAAGCTGAGCGACATCACCGACGAGGAGATTGCCAAGTACGAGGCCGCGTACCTGCCCCGAAAGCGGGAGCTTAGCGCAGTCTGGAGCCTGATGGCCTTTAGCGCGTGCGTTGTTGAGTCCCTTATCGTGACTGACCGGTACCTGTTCCTCAAGGAACATTCCGATATCGTTCGCGACTGCTGGGTGGAGACAGTATTTGACTATGGCCAGAGCCCTCGAAATCTCGTCGTCGTGGGTATCAAGAAATAAGAAGACGTGTAGGAAATAAAACGATGTCGGATGAGTTGTCTCCTCTTCCCCAGCCACCTTTGTCTTTCACGCATACCTATACAGCAATCTCTCGGATAGTGTACCCCTGGGGTTGTGCGGGATGTTGCAAGACATTTGACTTGTTGACCTGATATATCTATTTTTGTGTCCATCCAGGTTATACCCTCTGCCTATTTATCCCGGGGGTTTTATTCCGCAAATGGAGAGAGTTGCAGGACTGTCGTTCCGAATTTCTGCACGCCTTCGGTTCGGCTAGTGGTCGCATCCTTCTTCGATGGGGAACTGCCATTTAGCATGTCGCAATAGGTTGAAACGATCTGTCCCACGCTGCTACAGCATACCCCTGGATCGGAGAGCTCTGTAGCCTTCTTGCAGTTTGCCGTTGCCTGTTGAGCCGAACAAGAAGACTCGACATTCCGATGACCATCAAGCATGGTCTTGGGTATGCCGGATCCCCTAGTCACTTGCATGTTTGATAATTTGCTTCCGGACAGACGCTGCCACCAGACAGAGTGAAAGCCAGAACTCGGTCCGATGATCGGTGTCCAAACCTTCTCTTCTAGGTGGCACAAGCTCGGGTACAGCGACCTGTCAAGCAGAAGCAAAGCAAACCGGAACATACAATTGAGCTTTTTCGGCCAATCATGCGAGAACGAACAAAGCTCTGAAACAGGGGCGTTCTTTGCTGCGTTATCTCTTGTCTCTTGTTGTACAAAGGCAAGTTCAAGTTTTCGGTGTGGCTTCTGACGTGCCGCGTTTTCTCGACATGACCGGTGTGTAACTGGAGAGGATACTATCAGGTGAAGGCTGCGAAGACTCGAAAAGTTGGCTGTTTCCGAAGATGGTCGACATGTGCTTCCTCCTGGCTATAGTGATCCGATCCAGGCTGACTACCAAGAAAGGAACAGGGGAGGAAGAAGGGGGGGTTTCACTTCTCGGGATTTGATCTGTCTTTTTTTGCGCCACTCCACAAGAGAGGCTTCCCCCACACTTTCTGCTGCCCAAGGAGAAGAACCAATGACCCTTTTGCGAGGGTCAATTGTTGTTGCGGTGGCGCCAGGTCACCAGCAATGAGGTGAAACTGAAAGGCTGTGAAAGGAACCATGGCTGACAGGCAGGCAATCTTGAGGGCGCAAGCGGAGGTGAGGTACCTGCGTTTCGTCCTTTGACTTTGCTTTACATGTATACCTAGTACACTACATTGCCTACGTAGTGCCGGCATGACATTGTAGGTACATTGGGAGGTATGCGTTGTAACCCATCTGTCTTACTGGCGTTTGCCCAGAGTGGTGGAGCTGGAGATGCAAAATAGAAAGAAGTAGACACCTCTCCTCTTGTAGACCTAGGTATGTATGCATCGACGTCTTCCACTCATGACGTGCTTGGCGATGATTCGACTTGGAGTGATTTTGAATCTTGGTGTAGCTCGGCAAAGACCGCATTCTGTACGCCGAAATCAACATCCATCATTAAGAAGGCAAAGTGAGACAGAGATGATGGGAATAGGTTGCAGCATTTCGAGAACGCTAGATGCACCCGAGGGGACATGACAAGCGCCCGCGGTTACCTGCAGGTGCGCAAGCATGGAGGTGGATATGTGATGTACCGAAGACACCTGCCCCTGGTCCTGATACACTAGAAAGACATTGTTCACCGGGTTTCCTCTTCTTCTTTTTCTGCTGACATTTTCTTTTTATATTTTGTCGACTTCTATCCTACGCAAGGCGCCTGACCGACCGATACCCCCACAGGCGATCTCATGTGATAAAAAGCTCTCGGACCCTCACTGGGTGCGTGGTTTGATACCTATAACGGAAGCGTGTCCGGACTGTTTTCCACATCGCCTGCCCCGCCACCTACCTTACCTGGTGCCTACACTGGACATAAGGTTATACACCTCTGCTTGGATATAAGTTGTTAGCTTAGTGAATTTGCAGATCAGTGGGGGGGTGGCAAATTCGGTGGCATTAGGAAGTCCGAGGTATTCCAATATAACCTTTCTAGTAGTTTCTATAGCAAAATACCTAAATAGGACTTCTGGGAGCCTAGAGAAGCATTTCATCTCATCCTCATTCATCATCCCTTTTTCCACTATAACAACGGTTACCGTCCCTCGAGGTTTCGCTATCCCTAACCTTCTAAATCCTCCCTTAATACTAAAAAAAAAAACATCGCTATATTTAATAAGGGATAAAAGGCTTCAAGTCCGCGCCCTTCGCAATTACAGCAAAATAACCTATAAAGATATTACATAGAAGACCGGCTTTACTATTCGACAAATCCAAATTGCCTGCACTGGGCTAGTTACCTTCTAAAAGCGAAGAAAAAGAAAAGGTCTTTTAATAATACCGGAGAAAAACGAACTTAAAGAGTAAATAAAAGAGGAATATTTATAGAGATTCATCTCTTAGTATAATTTTCCTTTTTACCTTCCTCCTTACCTTATTACCGGCCCCGGAGTATTAAGGAAAGTACTTTACTCTTTAGGCTTTTATCGAAAATTAAGAATTAAAAAGATAAAAAGAAGTATTACTAATAAAAGAAAAAGAGTAGAATAATATTAAGAAATAAGAAGGTTTTACCTTCGTCCAAAATATTAGGAGGATATCTTTAATTTTAATAAGACTTAAGTAATTAATAATCTAATATAGAAATAATAGGTAATTTTAAACGAAGATAATAATTTAAATGATTTTGTTCTTATTAAGAGAAAGCCTTATAGTTGGATGTTTTAGGGATCCTTTGTTGGAAAAAGAAAAGGGCTTTATTTCTTTTAGGAAAAAGAATTTAGAAGAATCACTACTTAAAAGTATATCTTTTTTATCCTTCCGATAGTAGTAGCTTTTTACCAAGAAAATAGCCTTATTTTTTAATATAATAATATTCCTTTTTATTGGGTAAAAGAGACTTAGAGAGTATTGGAATTAATAGGAATCCTTAGGCTTAGTTAGAGACGATTTCTAGTTTACTTTCCGGATTTGGTACCAATTGAGAACGTTTGGTATTGGATGAAGTCACTTATCGAGGTTAAATACGACGTTCAGTCTCTTAACCCATCACAACTCAGAGCAGCTATTCAAGAAGTTTGGGATATAGTACTGGAGGATTTTCTTTTTAAATTGGCTCATTCAATGCCAGAAAGGATAGAAAAAGTTATTGAGGCAAATAGAGATAATATTAATTATTAAATAAAATAATAAATAAGATAGTGTACAATAAAATGCTTTTTTTTCTATATTAGAACCCTGGTTTCTTGTAGTGTCTTAGTGGCTTGGCTGGCGCCTTGGCTGTACCGAACTAGCATCTTATATCCAAGCAGAGGTGTACTGCGTACACTAGCATACCCGGCTTCTACACCTATCGTCAACCCCTGGGTATGCAGCCCGGTGATCTATCCAGATATTTGAATCGAGGTCTGGCATCGATCGCCATAGCACTAAATACTGCATTGCATGCAGGCATCATCACTATATGCAGGCGGACTTCGTCTTGAGGTTCTGCCGTGGGTTCGAAAGAGGTTCTCCAACACGATGGCCAGGGCCCCGGCTTAGGTTATAGCACGATCACGGGCAGGTACATCTATCTACCTTATCAGTTCTTGGGTCTCCCGGACCCAGACGCTCCCCCGATCTCGGGTCGGGTCCCCTTCATCCTCTGCCCCGCCAAGCTTTACAATGTCACAAAGAGAGCAAGCGTACATACTGTACTCAGCAGATGGAGAACTGAAGGAAGTGGGAACTGGAGAAGCGCTCACTCCTCTTAGATTCATCACTTTGACGAACGAACTTCCACTTGTTTTCGATATGCCCATCTCTTTTTTCCCTCTTTTGTTTTTCTGAACCTTCGCTTATCCATCTCAAATTTCTTTGATATCTCCATGTATCCTTGCCCTTCTGGTCCTTGTCCTGAGTTGACTCATCCATCCTTTCCACTTCCACAATCTCCTATCTTGTATACTTTGACGATACCCTCCCCCCCACCTACCCATTGAGTTCCCTTTCCATCTCGCGTCCTCGGTGACTGGACTCGCGCCTCTTTCAGTCCGACCGAGCCTACTTTGTTTCACATAGCTACCTGCTGATCCACCTATCTATCTCCTATCTTTCAGATCGACAATCCAAGAACTGACATTTTGTGACGTGACGACGGACTCCGCTTTGATTGTACGGAATAGATCGGGAGTCCGGAACAGTCACCTACCCAAACGATCCAGTGGACCCCTCAAAACGCACCTCACGTTCGCCTTACCCAGGTGTTACTCCAAAACTGTTTAAAGCTCCCTCTTTTTCGAGACGTCACAAGGTCACACCTTGATCACCTCATTTCTCATCACCCCTTGGACGCCATTCATTCGATTTTTTTTTTTTTAGAGGGGATAAATCATCGCAGGAAATAAAAGTGACAAGGGTTCCATCCTGGCTGTCTTTCTTAAAACCACCAAGGCGTGCCTTAGGCATCTGACGGAAACCATCAAAGAGAACTCCAGATCAAGGGAAGCAATCAACACACATTCACTGCTATGAACGCACAAATAACTTTCCTGGTAATTCATCCCCTTTTCCTTATTTCCTATACCATTCTCACCCCACAATAGCATCGCTAATCCTTCCTCTTGGAAACCAAAATAACAGGATGGAACCCTGCGTCTCATCCACATTCCCCTCCCCCTCTACTCGACCTTCCTCCAACCCATCCTGCAAATCCTTCTTCCACCAAGCCAACCATTACCATCAGCAACACCCTCACCACCCGTCGGTAACTTCCACCACCAAGATGAAACAACCTTTCTAAACATCTCCATCACCCCCCTCGAATGCTCCGTCGTCTGCCCCTCCTCCTGGGCCCGCGCCGTCTTTGAGCCCGCCATCGCGCGCCTACCAGAAGACCAAGCAAAAACGATTTCGGTTTCCAAGGATGCCTACGCCGTTTTTTCCGTCATCAGCGCCGGCATGGACGCCGGCTCGCGCGTCGTCGACTTGACTTGCCCGCTTGCCTTGGCGGGGATCCCGATCTTCTTCATCACGACGTATTACTCGGATTTCATCCTGGTGCCGACCAAAGACAGGAGAGCGGTGGTGGAGACGTTGAGGGCCAAGGGCGGATTTGTATTTGTCGAGGAGGAGGGTGGAGATGAAAACGGGTTCGATGGGTATGGATCGAGAAGGGGGTCGGTGACTATGGCGTCCGGGATGGGTTATCATTATGCCAGCGCATCAAGTGGAAATGGCAGGCTTAGTGGGATGTTGACCCCGATGATGCCGACTACGCCGCCCCCTTCAGATGCAGGAGAATTGCAGCTCAAGACGTTTGAGACGCTCAAGAGGCGGAACGTGGTGCCGTTTGTGGAACCCGGTTTGAGGCTGGTGCATTGCTCGGGGAGGGAGAAGACGAGCATCCACGGCGGCGGGGGCGGCGAGGGCGGACGTGGCCATGGACATAGTGGAGGGAACGTTTCCATGACCGGCGGCAACGGGACGGGCTACGGCGGTGAGGTTGATGGGGACGGTAGCGCAAATGGCGGCGCCGGTTACTACCCGCGCAGAAGGAGGAACAGCTGGATTGACACAGTCGACACCAAGCTGTACACAAGCATCATCTCGGCGCTGGTGTCGCAGCCGCGGTTCCTCTCGGTGACCCTGGCGCAAGATGACCCCCCTTCGCTGCTGCTGGACAAGGCGCTGGTGGACATGTTTGGCGACTCGCTGGTGGGACCGACCGAGGGCACGCTGGTACCCATCTTTCTCGACCTGGTCAACTTGCCGTTCGAGGCAACGGGCATCGTTTCGGGGGTTGCCGGGAGGTTGGTCAAGGACATGCCCATGGCGGAGAGCGTGGAGCTGTCGTACTTGTCAACGGCGAGGGCCGGCGCTGTGATCTTGTCCTGTGAGCAAGCCGTGACGGCTCTGGGAATTTTGGAGCCTTTGCTGAAAAAGCAGGGGTGAGTGACACCGTTTTCGATTGTGAGGCGTGGCCGAGAAGGACATGCTGCGTTGGCCCGGCTTTGGGGATGGTCGTTCATGGTGAAAAAGCCCAAAAGTTTGTATAATCTCGACTCCTTCATATCGTGGGGTCAAAATTCGGCGCGGCGGAGGATAATCTGGCGTTGGCTGTAATCTTTGGAGAAAGTTGCATGGTTGGACGGAGCTGCGTGGTGTTTTGGCTGCGATGTAGCGAATGAATTCATCTTGGTATCTGCAGAATAGGCCTTCGAGAAGTCTTTTTCTCAATATTCTTGCTGTGTAGTTACTGTCAGCAATCAAAGCTGGGCAATCTTGAGACTATCACCAGCCCACTCATTTCCCACCCTTCTTCTTCTTCCCTTCCTGCTTGTTCTCCTCGTCCACCAACCCCGCCCTAACAAACGCATCCCTCGCCGCGCCGTTAATCAGCGCGAACCTCCTCGGCCCCAGCTTTTGGCCTCCATACCACCGCGTCACCACGACCATGGTGTCCCACAGGTCCATCAGCTGCATCAAATGTAGCAGCCTGCCGCCCGCCGCCGTCTCCCCGTCGTCGTCGCAATCCTGGAACGAAGTGCCGTTCGGCCCGCGGATCCGCCACGCCGTGATGTTGTGCGTAGCCGCCCGCACACGCTTGTCCGACGCCAGCAGGTGTTGCAGGTACTGCGCCGCCTGTTGCGGAGAGGCGACTGGCGCGCAGCGGGCGATGAAGGTCGATTTGAGTTCGATCATGGGGAGGGAGAGCGTCCAGGGAGGTTCGGGGCCAAGGAGATCTCCTCCTCCTCCTCCTCCGCCTCCTGTCTGTGTATCATGAGTTGCTGCTGTTGCGTCATATGAGGATACCCTCTTTCCGTTTCCTTCCTCCACGTCCTCCTCCTCCTCCTCATCCTCCTTCTCCGCCGTGGTGACTGCGGCTATGAGTTCCTTCACTTGCTCAATGGCATCAAACAGACAGACTTGGCCCGGCTCGTACACCTCGCCGACTGCGTCGCGGAACAGAGCCAGGTCTCGAGCGGCGGCGCCGCGCTTAGCGTGCTCGCCGGAGGAGTGGGTACCGAGAACGACGGGTGGTTCATCGGGGTAGGCTGGGGGGAACTGAAGACGCAGGGTGGATGAGGTGATTTCGCCGGGGAGAGTCAGGATGTAAGTGGAGGGTGAGTCGTCGGATGGGGAGAGGGTGCCGTCGCCGTAGATGGAGTTGATGGCCTCGAGCTCGTCGGCTAGTTGTTCGGACATTGTGATCTCTTGTGTGAGCGCCAAGCTTCACACCGTCCGTTTTGTTTGCTGCCTGGGCTGTAAATTGCTTTCACTTTATGTGAGTCGGTTGTCATTGAGGTTACTTTGTCTCGCTACTCGTATCAAGTGACCCAATATCGCCGTATTGCAAAAAGTTGTTGAGGACGTGATGTAAACGCCATCATGTCAGAGGCCTGTCAAGTGAGATCCGGTCAGTTCAAAGAGATATTTACAGGACATGCAATGGCGTGGAGGGGTAGGTACCCGTTAAAGTGCGGATCCACTTCCTTCCTTATGTATCCGGCTCCTCATGTACCTTGTACCTCGACTTGTGACCAAGAACTGGATAGATAGTACATCCGATCTGTAGGTGTGCCGCGGGAGTGCGATGTGAACTGTTGAATTTTCGTTGTCAAGATTACCTGTACGGCCGAGGATGCACCTTTCAACCTTACCGTCTCACACCCCAACCACATCGAATATCGTGACGAAAGGTGTTGGCTATACATACCCCAAATCAGGTACCTGAAATATGCCGATAGAAACAATCGTCGCATTCGTCACCTCCAATGATGGGTCCACATCGCCAATCGCGTTCCAGGGGCATCAGGGCCTGTCCCCGTCCGAGATCGACGCCAATTGGTTCCATTTCCTGTCTTCCAAGGGGGGAGGCGGCCAAAAAATCCCCACGTTTCGGGCTCCCGCCTTGGACCCGGACCTGGCTGTTGCAGGTCTTCTTCAACGCCGAGTTCGAGTCCGGCGGATCGGTGAACCGTCAACTCAACAAATCTTCAAACACCACCTCATCTGGTTGATTCCTTCCTGTCTTTGGTACTATTCTTGTTTTAATCTTCTTTTTTCACGGGCGTACAGAGACGGCATCACGATACACGGCCCGAGATCTAGGCACTGTAGTGTACTACCAAACGCGCCCAGTTCAGCACTCGACAATCCGTTGTTGACGATCCCGTTCAAACCCCTTTTTCTCTGAGTCGCAAGTCTTTTTTGGATATCGCAACACCAACGCGAAGCGCGACGATACATATTCTTTGACGCCTAACCATACACATCTCGATCCGGCCTACCACGCGCCCTTACACAATGTGGTGGTGGCTTACGGCCCTCTCGGGCAGCATCACTCCCCTCTTCCTCGTCCTCTCGCCCATCCTCTCCTATGGCGACCAAGCGCACTCCATGCACAAGGCCAAGTCCAGCGCCGGCTTTTCTTTGGACATTCCCTTGATCATGCTTGTTGCTTCTCTGCTCAGGTTAGTTGCGCCCCAAGCCCACGGTCCGCATTGCGACTTGCGACGCTAGCTAACATCCGTGATTCGCAGGATATTCTACTATCCCGGCGCCAAGTATGACACCGCCCTGCTCATCCAGTCCCTCGTTATGGTCGGAGTCCAGGTCGTGCTCCTCAAGATCGCGCTGGACCACCGCCCTGCCCCATCTTCCAGGGGAGGTGACGCCGCTGTTCCCTTCACGAAGGCGCAAGACGAAGAGTACCAGCGCCCATACAACTTTTGGCAGTGGAAGTCGCCCAAGCCGTACGTATTTCAGTTGCTACTGTCTATTTGTTTAATGACGTGAAAGCTGACACACACACAGGTACTGGCAATTCGTCTTGTACCTCTTCGCTGGCCTTGTCGTCTGCCAGATCCTCTTCTCGCCCTTCGAGTCCCTCTACATGTCCTACTCCTCTCTGATCGGCTACATTGGTCTCTCCATCGAAGCGACCCTTCCCATCCCCCAGATCCTCATCAACCACAAGTCGCGCTCGTGCAAGGGTTTCCGCCTGTCGGTTTTGGCCATGTGGTTGGCCGGTGACGCCATGAAGATGTTCTGGTTCTTCACTTCGTCTAGCGAGATCCCCTGGTCCTTCAAGAGCTGCGGTATCTTCCAGGCCTGCTGCGACTCGTACCTTGGCCTCCAGTATCTGATGTATGGAAGCGGCGAGGGGGTCTCGAGCGCTATTAAGGATCATCCTCTCCATGACTACCCCGTGTCTGGGAGCCATAGCGTGGTCACTAGCCGTGAAGGTGCTGCGGCGAGGCGGACGTCGAACGCTGACAAGAGGATATCATAGAGGATAGACGATGGACTGTTTGGAATTCTATCATTATAGAATTGCTGCGAGAAGATCCTTGATTGCTTCTGGTCAGCATCAGCTTGGAGAGCTGGTCATAATTGAATATTCTTTTCATTTTCTCTTTGACCGTCCGTCTCAAATCTTGCTCTCATCCCGAGAATTGTCAGGTTGCTGTTCCAAGAGTAGCTGTGCAACCAATCATGCTCCCAGGATCTTGGTTTTTTTGTTTGCATGGATTTGGACGAAGCCTTGGGTCGCGAATTTGTCAGGGATGGACAGCTCACCCTTGTCTTTTTTCCCCTTGGCTGGTGAAGCTCTGATAGTGGACAACCCCAGCCACGTCAGGAATTCCGACTGGAGATACTTCAACCTTTCAAATATCAGCTCTGGAAAAGGTTCTATTGAATTTTTGGCATTGCTATGGCTTTCAACTACCTTTACTCTCAGGAAACCCCAAGAATTATGTTAGCGTGACCGTTCGATATCTGTCCGTCCAAGTCTCGGGCAAACAAATATGAACCAACTCCTACCACCGAGTGGAGTGCAAAAAGAGCGCCAGTCCACTTATTTCACCCACAGCCATTCTCCCCTCTTTCCAGAATTCGCTTGCAGCCAAAAAGTTCCCCTGAGACGAAGTGTGGGGGCTGACAAAAAGTAAACAAAACCGCGGCCAAGCTTATTGCTCCGGGCAACATCACACAACACTGACACAACACCTCTTTGTTTATATCGCCAAAAGGGGGGCTGCCGGCCAGTCAATACTTTTCCGGCTCACTAGCAAAAAAAAAAAAAAACGAAATACGGCTTCTACATGACCCCTTTCAATTCCAAACGGCAATTTCTGCGCTGGGTGTTGGATCTACGGTAGGGCAACACCTCGACGGTTGACAGGCCCCAGTATCGTGTCTACTTGCTGGACTGGATGCGCGCTTGGCGTGTTGGTTGACTTATAGGTAAGTCATGGTCGACTTGAACACGAGTTGTGTATTTTTACGAATTCGCTTTCCTTGCTCGCTCTGCTATATCGCTTTCTTTTTTTTCCGTTTTATGTGCAAATGTGCATTTTCGTCTCCGATATTAGTTATGGACATGATGTCTACATACCTATGGACCATATCTGGGATGGAGATCCGCTCTTCGGGCACCTCTAAGATCAGAACCTTTCTTCTATACCTTCGAGATCTCTCAACCGCCTTTAGTGCCTTGATATAACCCTCAATTTGATCAACTCAGATTATCAGCACTATCCATGTGTCTAGGGGTTAATGTTGTAAGGTTTTTTTTTTTTTCTCCCCATTTGCACTCCTTGAGTTTGTTTGCTCCTTATCACCAAAACTTGTGCTCTGTCCATCTCCATCGGACCTTCACAAACGAACTTGTGCTAACCCTGGATCCCAGTGGCTACCTATCAGGCCGCGAGTCGGACCAAATTCAAATTTACCGGCAGGTGTGTTGGTTTTTCGAATTCTGGGCCTTTCACTTGTGGTCATCTATCGACCTCGAGGAACATCGGATGACAGAAGTCTTCGGAAAAATACTATCCGATGTGAACCCTCCCGTTGCCTGCGGCTCCCGTTTTCAATCTTCTCCCGCATAAAGTCCTCGCTGTTTGGACTTCTACCTTCCACCCCATCGTCCTCACTTTCACACCCTCTCTCGTCTTTCCACCATCCACGATCCCGAGGAAGAACATCACCAAGGACAGCAGGCCATTGACTGGTTAACCGGGTTATACATATATATACATACACACTCTCATACCGTCTTCCACAGCTCACTCTCCTCTCGGACAAAACGCGTTAACTTTCTCAAAACTGGAACTAGCTGACTGGACTTCGGCATTTTGTGGAATTTCTCAAGACATACCAATCAGTCAGTACGCTCCCAATCATACTCGCGCCGCGATACTGGCTAACAATTTGCAGTAGAAGTAAAATGCCGGCAAACTTCAAGACCTACGAGGCCCAGGCGCGCCTTTTGGCCGCAGTGATCGCGGCTCATCCCGAGCTCAGGCTCAACTACAAGGGTAAGAACACATGATTTTTGTGTCCCTTCCTCTCACTTTTGTCTCTCGACGTGCCTGTTCTGCTCCATGGCTCTCCATTATTTCACCTACTCGGCGCCTCCGACATGATCGTGTCACGACGTCATCACCAGTCTCAGCTCTTCCAGTGGTCGAGTCACAACTCAAGATGCTGATGAGATTCCAGCAATCGCTCAGCACTACGGCAAGTCCGCAACCATGAGTGCCATTGAACATCGCTTCCGCCCCGTTCGTAAACAGGCGGAATGCTTGCGCCTTGCTGTCAGCAGGGGCGATGATCCGGAGGAGATTGACATCCTCGAAACCGGCGGTATGAAGCATCTTGGCAACATCAACACCTGTCACTTCGTCATCAGACTTCGTTATCTGGGCTTTCCAATTTCACTCTCATTTCATATCATTATCGTGGCCTTCCTGAACTTCGCTAACATTGTCTTCGCCCCAGAACTTGCCAGATACTTTGGCGAATCTACCGCCGACGGCCTCCAGTTCCAATTCCGTAGCATCAAAGCTGGCGCTGAAGCCATCAAGAGCGCAGTCGACAACGGCGAAGATCCCATTGAAGCGTTCAACAACGTCGGCTCCGGCTCGGGAGCCAACAAAACGCCTTCAGGCCGCAAGCGTGGCCGTCCAGCCGGTACTCCAGCCTCCGGCAGAAGCCGCGCTGGAGCTGGTACTCCTGCTACCGGCAAAAGCACGAGCACCACCGCCAAGCCGCGGAGGTCAACAGCCAAGAAGGCGAATTACGTAGAGCCGCAAACGACTACGGATAAGGACGTGTCGGCTGCGTCTGTCGACTACGACGCCTTGGATGACTCTCCCACCGGCCACTTGGCGAAGAAGACGCGCACAACTCCCATCAAGACTGCTTTGCCGCCTAGACGCATGTCTGGTGCTGCCGCGCCGCCCTCCCAGCCAGTCTTCAAGACCGAGGCCCTTGATGAGATCTTTGAGGTCAGCGATAGGCTGCCTTCTCCCTCTCCGATGCCGCCGCTGCCTTCTACTGCTACTGGTGGTAATAACGACTTCTTCACCAACGATATGGTACAAAACGAGCGCGCCGCATCAGAGTATCACACGCCTGCACCGGAATTTCCCCCCAATGCTTCTGCACAAAGCCAGAGCCAGTCCCAGTCCCAGTCCCAGGGCTTCAACATCAAGCAGGAGGCCCTCTCCTACAACAACGGCGGCATGTCCTTCGACGGTGGAGTGACCACCAGCTTTGCTTCCGCTACCACCAGCATCTTTGGTGGTAACAATGGATATACCGCTACCACCACCGGCGGATACCTTCAGCAGCAGCAGCAGAACACCCAAAAGAGCAACAACAACAACAACAACTCTGCTGGGTACATCAACATTGTTAGTGACGACGAAGATGATTACACGCAGTCCCAGAGCCTCTTTGGCGCTGCTGTCCGTCCCCTGGGAGGAGGAGGAGGAGGGGGAGGAGGAGGAGGACACGGAAGCTCTGGAAATTTCAGCCAGGCTTTTACTACGACTCCGGGCATGGGCATGGGCTTGCCGAGCAACATGACCGGGGACGGTGGTGGTGGTGGTAATGGTGACATGGGTTCCTTCTACGTGGATGAGGATCAATATGAGATCTAGAGGGAGTTGGCTTTTTTTTTTTTCTCTCTCTTCCCTGGTGCTGCTTTGCAAAAGGCGGGGCACCTCACCCTCCTCACCCGATCGATCACTCGCAGTCGCAAACTTGAGGTGGGCAGACATTGACGGCACAGCTACCTCTAAGATCACTGCTTCACGACGTACTGAGAGAAGGAAAGAAACAGCGCATCGGTGTCTCTAGAGGTATAGGATCCTCCCACAATCTGCATTTGCCCCTTCCTTTCTTGCTTTTTTCTTGATTCCTCTTCGTTCTCTCTTTTTTTCCTTTTCCTTTCGACATTCAGGTTCATACTGGGATACAAAACTTGCTTCTATGTTCTTTACAAAGCAACAGCACAAGAAAAAAAAAAAAAAAAGAAAAAAAAAACGTTCATGACATGGAGCGGTGCGGGATAGTTCGTCTTGGTTCATGAGGAACCATGTCTACCTCTACACAGTCCTGGTACCAGGTCAGCAGCAGGGTGGAATTCACTACAATGACGTCAACGAGGAGACCTACCATCTACGGGGTCGGGTTCGACAAACATACATTACCTAGATCTAGGTGGTTGAAACTTTGCGACTCGGGGTGTACCCGGCGAAGGATACCTATGTTCCTCCAGCAGCAGATTGTGAGCACGCAATAGATACCGTTCTACGCAATCATCGCGGGCCAAGTCGACCTGCATTTGTATTCAGGTCGATCTGGCGATAATCGCGCTGGGGTTGTAGTTGGAGGACTGGAATGCAACTTAGTCATCGAACATGGGGGGTGGTGAACGGCGAATGGCGCATGGCGAATGGCGAAGGGTGCACGATGGGAGGGAGATCTTTGCGGTTCCTCAAGAGATTCAGTGTTTGTAGAGATTTATGTACGTACCCAGGTAAATCTGCACTCCGAATGGTTCGGCTTTTAGACACATTTGCTCCCATCTTGATGTGCACATTTGTCGCCGATTTGTAAGAGCAGTCTCGGCTTGGTGTTTTTCTGGTCAACGAAGCTCATACCTACAACGGTGAATGACACTTGGGCAAAGGGCATGAAGACCAGATAAGGATTGCAACATGACCACCAAGCCGCTGGTATTTCATCTACGCTCATCATACATCTACTCACTACAAGTTACACCTAAAAGTCTATCATGAAATGTCAAAGGCAACGCAACCCCACTCGGCTTTACTTCAACGTACAGCACAACAACCCATCACTTTCTAATGCTTGGTCCCATCCAACCCGCCTCAGATGCATCTCAACCCGTGTCATTGTGAAACTCCTTTCAATGCTGTGCAACTTTTCCCACTCAACCGCAACTCTTCTTCGTTGGTGCTCATATCTACTGAGACA